TAGGAAATTGCAAGTATTTATACAACAGCTCTTCACTCCAACTCTTATTTGAAAAATATCGTTAAATAGGTTGTAAACGACTGCAGTTATACATGTGCGTGTGACATCTGCCCAACCTGACTTGGCGTTGTAAAAAATGAACTATTGAAAATTTGGAGTCAGGTGCTAACTGCTTTCCTAATTGATGCCGAGGTGAATAAACATAAGGTGTTACCAATGATGTCAGCAGAAAAAAGTTACGAAGAGAGATATTTACACAAGAAAAAAATATTTGATAAATTAAAATAATATTTTCTATTTCTATAATAGTCTTATGTAATGGTATTTTTATACATTAGGTCTAAATGATAACTTTACTTTAATGGTAAGACCATTTCCATGCACTGGTCCTCCAGAACTTTTTTAATAACTATTATTTTTTCTCGGAAATTGTTCGTGAAGATATTGTTTAATAAATAGGTTGTTTTCGTGTTGAGTAAAATCATTTTAATGATTGAATAATATATCAAAACTCAAACATCATTCTCGTTCATGATAAATACCGATCTAAGATTGTGTTAAGGAACAAAAATGTTTTTTGTTGTTTATCTCTATTGTTGATAAAGATTGAGAGTACAAAATGTGTAAATTGTGAGCAACGTTTGTAAATAGTTAGTTTTAAAGATACGAATGTATTATTAATTTAAATACTAATGCAATGCACGCGAAAAATATCTTAAAATTCGACAATGTTTTTCGCTTTATAATATTTAAATATTATAATATTGTTGGCGATGTAACACGTTGCTCACTTCGTTGTGAGTTTGCCAACTTATTTTTATTTGTACAAACATATCGTCGAAGATATTTTTACTTATTTTATTTACATTTGAAAGTAAAGAGTTCCATAGGCAATAACTAACATTTTAATTAGAATATTAAGTTAGTTAAAAAAGTGTTTATTATTTGAAAAATGATTTCAGGTAATCTGTTTTTAATTATATTTCATACACGATGTAAATAATCGGTATTAACAATATAACTACAGTTATTTTGCACTTGTTTTAATGTTTAATCAACTAAATGCATATAGGTGCTACGACCTGTTTTATTGTTATACTTCAGATAATGAATACCGAGTAGGCAGACAGACATTACACTCGGTTACAACAATTTTAATTAAAACAAGATAAAAGTCCATCATTTAAATGAAAAATAATATTGCCACGAGAAAACATGATGTTTTGAAGCAGGTTATTTTCAAAAGCGGCCGTCATACAACTGTGTAGTTGTAATTTGTTTACTACATGGTATAGTTGAGCGTCGATGCTGTTAAAAAAATTCAACTAGAAATTTTCGCTAACGTTCCGTCGATGTCAGACACATAAGAAAGTAGACAATCGAAACAAATTGAATTTCGAAAATCCGTTACTATTTTTTATATTCGTCCTTTTTCGTAATTTTTTGAAAACACATTTGCAATTATGTAATCAGATATTAAACGAATAAAATAAAACTCTATTCGAATGTTTTCTGACAATTCGAGAATAGTTTTATAAATAATTTAAATTGTAATCAGGTCATAGTGGCCGATAAATTGAAAATTAGGATTGTGCAAAAAGACAGGGAAAATAATCCGGCGGGTATTGCATTAGTGGGGTCTGCGACGGGTATTGGTGCCACGATGGTGCGGGACAGCCGGTCGGCGGCGACGGCAATGTTATTAATTTTTTTTATATTTCATGTTTTTCAATGCGACCCGACTACGATTCCGGCGACGGCGGCAGCTGCCCGACGACCACCGGGCTAGTGGCGCGGCCGATTTCCATCACGTTGCGCATGCGCAAATGCCACGGTCGTCGCCAACTGGTTGCCACGGGATCGGCGGCACCCGTCCGTTCGTTAGCATTGTATTCGGATTACTCACCACTGAACTCAGTCGTTCTCAAACCCGTCGTAACGTCTGACACACAACACGATTGCCGTCGTCCCGAAGTTTTGTAACCCATGCAAACGGCCTCGAACACATAGAGTGCGTCACGGTTGTCGTAGCCGGTCGATGGCGCGCGACATTTCGTTTCGATGGGGTCGTTTTGATAATACCACGTCGTTGTCTATGTAGGGGTTCCCAAACGTGTAAAATGAAATTGCACCAGCTACATCGCCATGTGTAATGAAACAGCAACAATATTTGAAACATATCTTGTTGTTGTACGACGTCTGTTTCGTCGTTATACCACCGGAAAACGACGATAATATTAACTTTAGAAAAGTATCTCATTATATTACTACAGACCAATAAAAAAAAAAAACAATTTTAAATGACTTAATTGTTGTGAAATTATTCTGTCAGTACGATCACGTTGTAATAAAACGTGTGTAAAAAATATCTTAACTGTTCTGAGAAAATTAAATCTTTAATAAAGATATAAAATAATCAACGAACTTTTGATGAATCCATCAAATTTTGACTTTCGCCATAAATGTTATCGATTAAACGGCATTTGACATTTTAATTAATAAGTTAATTTGCAAACACTAATTTGAATCGATTACCGAGGATAATAGAGTACTTGGATTTATATTTTCAAACAAAACAATTCAATTATAATTTTTTCTGTCGGTTTGCCCATTTTATGTCCATTAAATATTTCAGTCAACTGTTCGAAACTAAATTATAATTTAAGTATCAACTCCAATCCTCCGTTGGCATTCGTTTAAATTGTGATAATTGTTTACTCAGACAATTTTCGCCTTATTTGAGAGAGACTCGGGCCGAAAATTCGATCGATCGATTGGAATTACGAATCGAGTGTGAAGAAAAATCATTAAAAAGCACTATTTTTTTTCCAGCTCAATTGCTCAGAGATGTTTTTCTAAGCGAAACTGTGACGGTATTTCAAAGAATACTAGGGTCCTTCAACATAAGTGTAGTTAAAAAAAAAATGTTATCGTAAAGGTTATCTTGACTGGGGGACCCGGTCATTCCTTTATACGCTTTAGAACGTGTTATCTCGTTTGGTAACGTTCGCGTTTGACTGCGAGCAACACGTGGTCTGTCCGAAAAAGGCTGAGGTCGAAATAGTATAATTATAACGTCTATACATCAATATAATCTGTACATTATTTCTGTAAGTGTAATGACATCATCCCACCACTGTAGTAAAACACGGTCAATTGTTATGAATGTGCGCAGGATACAGATGCTACTGTAGACGTTGAAAACACGCACATGGTCAATGTAGTGGGTGGGGAAGAGTTAGCACGAGACGGTATCGTATAAAAGCATGCCGCCGAGTGATACTTTAGCGGCGCTTTGTATAGCACATACCACAGCATATCCATTGAGTGTGTGTAATACTTACGACGAGCCTACTTTCCACTTCCCTAGCCCGTCCGCCGTTTTCCCAATGAACCCAACTCGTTCCCGCCTGTCACAGGTTGAATACACCGTTATATTGTGTGTACGCCGGGGCCTACGAGGTTATGCAAACAGGTGGTCACGTGACAACGGCCACAACGTGTCTGCTGTGTTATTGTCGTTTTCAATTTCATCGACCATATGCATACCGCATTTATATAGTATATATATATATTTATATAGTTTATGTATATATATACATTTATATAGTGTAACCGAGATCGGAGACAACCTTCTCCTCGGAATCTCTTTATCTTTGTCGAGAAAAAACGACAAATGACCTATTTTCTTATCGTAACACAACATTTTAAAACGCCCAACAGCCTTTGTGAAAATTATTTGTTCAAAATCAAATAGTTTTACTGTTATTTTGGTCAATAGAAATCACTTTTAGGGTTTTTAAATTAACTTAGTCAATGATAAAATATATCTTACATTGTACTCAATATCCTTGAGCGTTTTTCAGTGAGTAAAATATTTGATGTATAGTAGTGTTTTGGGCGGTATACTAACAATTTTTTTATTTAACGTATGTCCTTAAATAAGAAAAAAGTTTTTTTTTTAAATCATACTGGATAATATTTAATTATTTTTTAAATATTACGTAAAAATTTGTCGCCTAACGTTTGCAATTGTTATATTAGACTTCTAACCGAGAAATATATGTACCGATGTCACGATTTTACTTATTTTGACCTTTTGTTTTTTATTTAATGGGGCGCCTAAAAACATTGACCAGGTAGCGCCAAATGTCCAGATGTGGCCCTGATTATGCCACTGATAAGATTAACTAATAGGGTGATTAATCAACGTAAGGTAACCGGAAATGAAGCTCTTTGTTTACTTAAAATTAATTCTGACAAGTTATTGTACTCAAGTTCATATTTTTCCAAAAAATTATAATCCAGGGGAACCTAGGTAAGGTGAAAGGGGACATCATAACAAAAAATCTCGATTGTTTTTACGTTCCATACTGATACTGATTACGTATAGATGTCTAGTTATTGTTGTTCCAGAGAATGAATAGCCATCCTTCAAAGTAAAAGCCAACTTTTACTAATAACTTTCGAGCCTCTATTTATGTTATGTGGTGCACAGCCAACAAATAAACAAGTAGTTGTAAAATATGTCCATTATTACTCATTAGTTTGTTAATTGTTCTTCTATTTGACTAATAGAGTACCTAATCAGTATTTCATAATACCATCGTTTTATTAGATTAAATTTCACTTGTGATATTTGTAACTGTTGTTAATTCTCAAACAAAGAAAAAACCTCCCTTTAAAAACGAAAGCAGTCATATAAAAAAAAAATATTTCTATTTGAACATTTTAACAACACTAAAAAATACATTCAACTATAAAGACTTTACAACAAAAAGTGATTCACTACTTCGACATACTTTTTGAACAAAACTGACTGAGTCATGTTCAATTCAAAGTAGGGAGCAACACAATTTTCATAGCGTTCTGCATTGAAATTGTAGTACAAAAATAAAAATATTTTATACAATGTCAGTTGATTAATCAAGTTGATTCCACTATGAATAAATTATTTGAATTATACGAAAAATATTACAATTCATTATGTTCCTGACAAATTTACATGCACTTATACATATTAATAAAAAATTCATAGAAAAAATGTGTTTTTATTCACTCTGGCTAAGCAAAATATTATTGTACGTGTCATTTTTAAGTAAAAGGAGTCAACACTCCGACCTACGGTCAAGATTTATGTTTAGTTAGTATAGTCGTGGGTCAGCATGTATTTTTTAGTTCTCGTTAGTGTCTACAATTTACTGTGCTCATATCAAATTCAACCCTAAACTATTAGGATGTTAATCCACTGTGCATTAACCGAAAGGTGGTCATTGTAGAGTAAATCAAAATATTAAAATTTTCATAAAAAAAAAAATAAATAGAATATTATACGACAAGGTGTTAATACTGTCGTTTTTAATTTCGCACCTGACCTATCATTATAATACAGTTTTCCATTAACTTTTTATAATCATTCATTTACTGCTTTTTATGTGGCTCATGTGAAAATATTCATCAAAATTTTAACTCATATTTTTTTGTTTATTTGGATAACTATCAACTAAACCAAATTAACTACATTTTTTAAAAGAATTTTTTTAATGTTTGAAGATTGCTCTTCTTCAAATTGTAAAAAATGCAAAAAATAATGACACTCTTCTCAAATGTCATGACGACGTGATTTGCGAATTCCAGTGGCAGTGAACATTGTGTAGTGTTTGGAATGACGTAAGCACATCAAATCTCTATTGAACGGTATTTTTATTTATGTTATATACTCTTTTTAGATTATTATACAATTCGCCGACAATCAATAAATAATTTGTGTAGATGTAATACGTAGTTTTTTAGCATATCGCATTTCACCTGGTTAAAACTCAGCATTTGGCAGTTTTTTGATTCAACTGAAACGACCGGTAAGATTGTAAATAATGTTGATTGTCAATCATTGATATTTCATTTATAATTTAAGAATTCACAATAATGCTCATTAGAAAAACAAGCAATCTCTATAATATTTTAAAAAAAATTAATTTTTTATTCATTAGGCATCAATTATTATATATTTAGAAATTTAATTATAAATAAATATCGCATGCATAGAATGCTATACAAGAGAATGATTGATGAATAAAATTAATTCAAACAGCTATTATCATATCTTCACTTATTATTCGGTTTCTTAACATTATTAATATAATGATGTAGTATTGTTTATAGTAACTTGTTTACTTAACTCGTTCATTCATTGTGTACCGGTATTTAAAAAAAAAGAAATATTAAATGTAACACTTAATATTTTATTAGCTTCGACGCGAAGCCCAGCAGATATTAATTTTTATGTATAAAAGTAATAAAAAAATCCTAATATTATTTGCTTATAACTTAATAGTAAAGTGCATTTTTTATTTATTCTGTAATATCAAAGTTCAAGGAAAGTATACTTTTAGTTTAACAGTTTTTCTAATAATAAAATTTTGTTTTGCTCAAAATATTTTTAAATATATTTTTATTGAACTATCTACAATAATTATATTTTTACCGAACCCATATATAGAGTATTCAGTAAGTAAGGAAACGGGTTTCTATTGTTCTAATCGTTTGTAACAATTTACCCGTTTCCTTAATTACTGAAAACTCTGTATATAATTAAAATGTTAGTAACAGGGTTTTGTGTGGGTTTTTTATTGAACTAAATTTTACTAATTATTTGAATTATAATAATTACAATTCAATTATTATTTTGATGTATTTATAAATACATTTTATGCTTTATGTCATGAATGAATCTTATTCTTAACCTTGATCAAAGAAAAATGTTTAAAAAATTTTTTATTTATTCGACAAAATTGATGAAATTTCTGACACATTTCAAATATTTAATTGAAGTCTCTCAATTTCTAATTATATCTTCTTAACCAACTTAATTTTTTTAATTGCACTTCTATATGTTTTTCTCTGTTAGAGTTATCTATATAATGTATGATTATTTAAATATTATTGGTGTGTACTAATTAGAAAATGTCTACTTAAGTTTACATATATTCTAATTACTCTGAATTTTAAAAAATAAAAGATTTGTTATATGGAACACTATTTAGTTAAAATAGTATATAATTTAAATGTTGCAATCGTTAAAAACCAGTTTGGACTTTAAGACGACCGGTTAGTATTGTTCAATACTTGAAATTTTATTAAAACATAAAATACAATTACTAAATATTACAAAAAAAACAATTTGTTTTTTATGAAATACAAAGAAATAACAATGAAATAATAATTTTTTGCGACATTATTTTCAGCTTTTAAGTTTAAAATCAATTGTTTTCTTTCAAATTGGATATTGTAGACTAAAATAATTCAATTCAATTTTTTATAGCAATTATACTCCATATAATTAATTGGAGATTATTTTGTCTAGAAATTAACAGTTTAAGTCTATTTGAATAGTATTTGATATTGGAAGTCTTCTGCGGGAAATTTTACTTTGTGCAAGATTTAAAAATCAACTATCCATATAAATTTTAATTACAATATTTATAAGGAAAATTATGAAATAATTTTTTTAATTACTCATGGAAGGCTGTAGACCATAACTAGTATATTACCTAAAATTTATATAGCTTGTGCTGTGTAATTCATTATGCATTAATCAGCTTCGGTCTGATTCATGCGGTTTGATGATTCTATATTAGATTGTAAGATCTGACTGAGATTGAATTCAGTTGATTAATACCTGGAACTTGAATAAAGCTTAAAATTAAGCATAAAATTCTATGGTGATATATTGTAATAGATTTAAAAACTAAAAAGGGTTGGATAAAGAAGGTGATAATTTTCTTAAAGCTCTCCTAAATTTTTTAATCTTTTTCAGTTGAAGTAGATTTACTTAGGAAAGCTTCCACGTATATAGAATGGATGTTGTTTGTGTTTTAAGGCGCCAGAAGTCTTAAGAATACTCCTCGAAATGTTAAACTATTTTAAATCGATAGTTAAACAATTTTGTCATATGCTCAGTTATTAGTCATAGAATCATTTCCTTTACTCCTAAACTCATGACTAAAGATTTTACCAATAGTTAGTATAAAAATTATAATTTGTTTATGACCTAAAATGTATTGGGAGTTGGCGGACCTAAAGTACCAAACTTTATTAAAAATTATTATAACACACAGAGAGACAAAATTGATCCAATTAAAACAGACCATAATCAATAATAAAGGTTATCCCCTTTTCTTAAATATTTTTCATTAAAAATTTGAAATCCATATTGCATTTGATACGGATATTGAGCTCAAACGATCAAACTAATACAATTGCCGGATTATAATTTTTATTTATTTAAACTGATGCAAAATCAATGTGAGGTATGAAATATCACATTTATTGTACAATAATCTCCATTGTATAGGGACCGAAAAAATATGAATTTGAAGTGAAATATTACAATGATGGCGTTCCAAGAAGAAAGCGCTGCTTCATAGTGCGCCGTGGCGGAGGTTGAATAACCCGCAATTATATAGCTGTACTGTACTGTATTGATTTTGTATTTCCAACGGCAGTATTCCGAGAATTCATTTGTTCGCGCTTATGTAACTAATATTGTATTTTATCTAAAATTAATAATACTAATACTTGGTGACGAACTATAAAAGTTAAAAGGAATTACGAACGCCAAAGGTTGTAGAGATATAAGGGAATCTTGATGTCTAGGAGATATCACGAGGCTTCGAGAAGTCACAAGATTTTCTACTCATGTTATCTGCTAAACGATCTCTAGAGTAAAAATAATTTTATACATGAATAATTGTGTAAAATGGAAGAATAAACCAAAAACGTCTCCTAATCATTTATACAATATACGCTAATGTCTTATGATCATAATTGAATCATGTTTCAATGACATCATTCAATGGTTTCATTATTTAATGAAACATCAGGCACTCATTATTAAAGTTATAAAATTTAACGCATACTAATTATATATATATATATTTTATTGTAATCGTATATCAACATGATAAACGATGTACATGATGTCTTAATTAACATTCATTTTTTATAAATAATTGATGCACCATACCGTTTACACGTATGATGCTATAACGCTTAAGCAAATATTACCTATGCTAAATAATACAGTATTATTATTGCATTATAATTAATTAAAAATCTATTTATGTACAAAAATAGAAATATTCAAATTACCATTTATATGATTAAAGCAAACGGACAAGAATAATCACATTCTTTAAATTAAATTTTATGAGACGCAAATGCAAGACTAAAATTATAACTGCTGTAACGTAACAATAATTGTTATTATTTTTATGTAATACATGTATAGATAATTACAATTATTTATACATTATTTAGAAAGGATCGCATTTAGAATTTGAATTTTAAAGGGTAATTTAAAGGGGGCAATAGATCTCCAGCAATCTTGAAGCAATGATTTATACTTATTAAAATTTTGTATTTTTTCATTTTTTCTCATTAAATATTTTTTGTGTGTTTACTATATGTAAGCAGTTGCNTATACATTATTTAGAAAGGATCGCATTTAGAATTTGAATTTTAAAGGGTAATTTAAAGGGGGCAATAGATCTCCAGCAATCTTTGAAGCAATGATTTATACTTATTAAAATTTTGTATTTTTTCATTTTTTCTCATTAAATATTTTTTGTGTGTTTACTATGTAAGCAGTTGGGTTTTCACTTTAATAAGTACTACCTTGGATATCACGTTTAAAAAACTGTTAAAATTATACTAATATTAATTTAGAAGTATTAATTTTTTGTTAAACACAATTTATTTAAAATACAAAACAATAAACAAACATAACAGAAAATTTACAAGGACTACATATGTATTTAGTTATTTTATCTAAATGGTGTATAAAATATACAGTTTTCTATACATTATTGTCTATTAATTATTAATGAATTCATGCTATGACGCAACGAAATTAATGAAAAAAATCAAACTTAGTTTAGATAACTAAATTATATCCATTAAAATTTAACTAAAAATTACCAAAGTCTGCAACAGAATTATTTTGAGTGGCGGCTGTTCCCATGGGATACATCATCCCCCCCTTGGCACGCGATTGGTTGAGGTATTTTTTCTTCATTTATTACATTATGAATTTTGGAAAGTGACGAGTAATAGTTTTCAATAAATTTAAAAGATACTACTAAAAAAAATACGATGCGAAGCTGAGAAGGTATTTAAATATTTAAAAGGTATGTTCATTCATTGTTTTATATACTTCAGTGGTGCAACTACAGGGGAGCTGCAGCATACTCATAAATATTATTTTAGTTGTATCTTTGGCGGTCTTCTAAAAAAATATGTTTTTCCTTTCAAAGATAGAATTATAATTAGTAAATACGGTCATATCTATATAAATAAATATGTATAATGTAAATAGTTATTAATTTTGTTTATATTTATTCAACCACAATTTGTAAAATAATATAAAACTTGGTCGATATAAAATTATTATATTGCAATTTTAAAATAATATGTAGTTTAAATACATTCATAAAAATCATTATGGTTTGTAATAATTAGTTACTTTCATTATGTAACAATTTTACACACAAATAATAAAATTATAATTTTTATGATTTATATCTATACTTTATCAAAAATAAAGCATTATTAACTAAATAAAAAATAAGTTGATTTAAAATTGTTTTACATGATGACTAAACACATTTTTAATTTATTAAGTATATTGGTTAAGGAAAATGGTTTTGGTAAAATTAATCTAAAAATTATTTTATTATTACTCTAAGTAAAATATTAATAATTTTCAAGTGTATAATTGTCTTTTAGACGTAAAAAAATTAATTTGTTTGCAAGTAAAATAATCAAATTCAAATAAATTAATACATTCATAAAGTTAAAATAAAATATCATATGTCAAACACGAATTTCTATTGCTATTATGTATAGCAATTCAATTTGGAACAAATAAACATTTTTCCACATAAATGATTTTTATTAAATTTTTCAACAAAAAACAAATAGTCATAACATTAATAATTTAAACAATCAATGCTTCTAAATATAACATAATAAAACAATGGCACATTTAATAAACAGTTATTTTTTTATTATAATATATAACTAATCTTTAATAACTATTTATATTTAAATAAATTAAACAGTTTCAATTAAGTTGAAAATAGCTTTGATTTGATTTTGTAATATGCAAATTTGGTGAACTTTAATAACTAAGTTTGGTATAATTTTTTGGTTATTTTTGTATAAACTAAAATCTTATACACTAATAGTTTCTCTGAAAAAAGACTAAATAGAGAAAAATCTTTATGTATTTTTTAAATAATTATTGTTTTAAAACTGTGTACAATGGCAACATAATTTAAGTTTTCCTTAAAAGAACATTTCTTTTTTAAATAATATTTATTTTCTTTCCATTTATTTTTTGAAGACAAATTGAAATATATAATTCTATAAAAGGATTTATATAATGGAAATCTCCTATACTGTAAACAGTTTTATTTTTTTACTAAGTGAATAAATATATACAATGGAAATCCTTAAATTGTTTTTGTAAAACAAAGTTATAGTATTTTAACTACTGAATTACAAAGCACAGCCAAATTTCCTACTTTGACATATAGTAAACGTAATTTTCTAATTATATTCTTCAATAAAATAATGTCATTCATACTTAGAGGCACTTAAGTAATCAAATAAAGATTGTGCTAATGGTTTAAATACCCATATTACGATTAAACGTACACATATTATTAACACAATATTGAATTTAAAAAATATAGGAAACAGTACTTATAAGTGTTATGTCATTTTACAAAATAAAACTAGTTGCAGTGCTAATATAATTCATTTAAATTAAATTTCATAACTCAAAAATTCACTAGAGTTCTAATTTTTTAAATATATAAACTTAATTGTGCGAACTAAAACATTCCAAACATATTATTTAACCGTTAACTAAAATAAAACTAAAACATGTTTCAAACACATTAATTAACGAGATCCCAAATTAATAATTATAACTAAAATCCAGTAGCTCCAAGCGTGTGTCGTATTTGTTCAAAACTTAGCCAAAATGTCAGTGACCATGGGGCCATTCTAATCCAAACTGGTAGGAAACCTTTATAAAGAGCTAGAAACCCTTCATTTTCAACAGTCTTAATTAAACAGTCCACTGATCCTTTATATACTAAGCCACTAAAGAAAAATATTATTAAATATAAATATAAAAAAGTATATTTTACACAAAATATTGAAGTAAAGTAAAACGTACATGCCATTTTTGTCAGTAGGTTGATTCATAACACGTGTTTTTACAACATCAGCTGGTGTACCCATTGTTGCAGCAACCAAACCCGCACAGACACTAAAAATATTTTTAACTAATATCCATAAAATCGTTTTATTTAGACAAGTTTTTAAGTATACCTAGATAAACAATGTAAAAGATGTGAATCAGGTAATCCAGTTTTAAGCATAATTAGTTGTTTAGCTGTATCATAAGTGGTTAAGTCTCCCAAATTTACTAGAGCCGCTCGTTGTACATTTGGTATTGAGCCTTTCCATAAACCACGATAACCACTTTCAGCTAAAATTTTTTTAAATGCATGTGCAGTACCCAAAACTCTATAAAAATTGAAAAAAATCAATAAAAACTCTTAATATTTAAAAAAAATGTATACCTTGGTGGCTCTCCCATTAATCTACGTTTACCCTCCATTTGAATTTGAACTTTTATTAAATCTGCTGGACTAGCAATATATTGAGCTATTGCTCCAGATACTACACCACTTATAGCAGATTTCCTATGAAAATAATAATAACACTTTCTTATTGTTAGTATTTTACTTATAAAATAAACAACACTTTCTACCATATTGGGAATGATCCATCTGGATTTTTCATTAAAATCTGATCACGCATTGTTTCATATGAAACAATTCTAATTCCTGAGTATATTACATGTCTATATAATGCTGGTGATATTCCTTGCCATAATTTTAAGGCACCTTCTTCATTAACAATACCGATTGCTGTTTTTAGCATACCACGATATTTGACAGATTTTCCATTTGTAGTAGCTGCCTCTCCTTGAATCTGGAGACGAGTTTTAGTTAAATCTAGTGGATATGTAACTGAAATTAAAAATTTGAAAGTTAATATAAATGATTTATTTAATGAAATATTATTTCTAATATTGTAAAATATTAATATTAAAAAATACTTTTACTTATATTTTAACTAATTAAATAGAATAAAAATTTTATCAAAAATAGTTTTTTTCTATTACAATATAGTCATACTTTATTCTAGTATATTCTTAAAATACATTGTAACAAAGGGAAGCAAAAAAATTATTTATTATTAGATTTTCCTACTAAAAAACTAATTACATTATTATACATAAATATATTTTTGAATTTTCTCTTTGCTTTTAGAATTTTGAATATTTTTATATAATATAAATCAATAATTTTGATTAAAATTATTTAATGTAATCATTTTATTAGCTATTTTACATTTTACTAGTAAAATAATATAACAATACTTATTGAATACATACACAATTCAGCTACACTTGCAGCTACTACAGACACAATGTAAGTACACCAAAAAGTATCAGCATAATTGTACTCCTTTGTAGAAGGTGGGGCTTTTTCTTTGATAGTCACTACTTGTATATGCACCATTATATGGTCTGTAGAGTACTTTAATTCTCATGAGAAATGTTATGTGAATTAGATATGTAATTGAAAAGTACTATAATTATAAGAAAATGTAAATTATAAAAAAAATCTTCTAATACTATTAAATCTTACGATTAGAGATCTTAACTATAAATTGTATAAAGTGTAAAATATTAAAGAACTGTTATCATGAGAACTATTAATTAAATGAGAATAGCAATACACAATGGACTTTATTCTCACTGATTAGCTAATATATTGAGCAAGAACACTTACCATTTAGAGGAAATGACCCTGTAGAGTTTTTAGTATTTTGTAATTAATAATATGTATTGACAAATATGACATTCAAAGACAACCATCTTTCAACGACAATAAGTAGTAGTTGTTGTATAAGACTGATAAGGAAAAAATTATCATATGGTTACTGAAGATAACTGATTACGAAACTATACAATAAAAATTAATAAATTATATATATATTTTTGCTTGACATTTAAAGTTGAGGTATTTTTTTTATATATATCTGTTCACTTTAGTATTTTATATTAGATACGTATTTATTTTTTCTGTTTAATGTTCTCCGTCAAACGTTAGCAATTGTAAGTGTTCAAAATCCATTTTGTGTGCTAAGTTCACCTCGAATTTCCTCCCAAAAAATAAAGACCTAGTAATAATATTTTTAGATGGTGCGCAATAATGATTTTTTTGTGATGAATGAAAAATATTGAAAAAATAAAATAATTAAATAAAAAATTAATCGATATTTTACGAGAAATTGATTTAAAGTAGGAAAATATATGAGTAACATTATTTTATGATTCAAAAAATTGTCACATATCCAGAGATTTTTCTATGAAGGAATTATTGCTAACCATTTTTTAGGTAATAAAAATAATTTTTTTATGATTTTCACTGAATTTGTAAATTTACTGTCTATACATTACGCAGCACATTTTTTATGTACTAATTAAACTTTTAATTCTTCGTTTTTTATCTCGAAATGAGTTATTTTTTATCTAAGTAGTATAAAAATAATTATTCACGTCAAAAAAGCGTAGTCAATAGAAAACATTTAATATATTCAAGTAATAAACTTCACCTTCTACACATGATATGATACTTTTTAATCATATATTATGCATATTTCAAGTTATTTTATGAATAAATTTACATTATATTGAACTTTTTACAAACATACTTAAAAGACATACTTAGTGAATATTTAAAATTGAAATTATTGAACATTTATTTAGTAATCTTATAAATTTTATTATGAGATGTAGATGATTATCTGTCTTATTTTTCTGTTAATTAGTTAGTCCTCGTTGTATGACATATTTGAAAGACTACTGTCAAAAGCGCCGGAACTATTTTTTACACAGGGGGCAAAAATTTAATGATCAAAACTAGGTCCCCTTAGATGTTACTAAGCTAAAAAGCGAGTTAAGCTATTTTTTGGTAGATTTTAGTGACTAAACTAATATTAATAATAAAGTTACACAATGATAAATTAGAATTTAAAATAAAACTGTTCTCATGCAAAACGGATTAATGCATAATAAGATATTTCAAATTAACGCTTTTAGTATTTGAATGTTAATAAAATGTATGTGTTGCATGTTTTTTGAGCTAAATATTTAAAAAATAGAAGGGAAATTCACTATTTACAAAACATGTAATATGTTATTAATGGCTTAAAATAAATCAATTGTAAAATGTAGAAAATAAAATTTCCAATTAAAAAAGTTTTACATATAGTAGAATTTCATAAAAAAGAAATGGTTATTAATTGCATTTTGGTTCAGATCCAAATTTTATAAAATTTTTAGAAACAATATTAATCAAAATTGTCCGACTACAAATTAAAATTACAGCTTTGTTTTAATTTTATAAACACAAAACCAATGGAGTATTTAAGGATTTATTTGGGAAATATACATAAAATCAATTTTCATTACACCCCATAAATTATCATTTTTTTTTTTTTTAAATCTTTATTGTGTAATTATTTTGTCAAAGCGAGATATGGTTGTCATATCTCCCCTTAAATATATAAGTACACATAACTGTTACAGAAATTAATATATAGAGGTGTTTAATTTAAAATATAATTATGTTTAATTTTTAGAAGGCATACTAACTAAACAGTATACATGTTATTTGTATAAAATCATTATACATAATAATTTATTACATTAAAAATATTAATAATTAATATGGTAATAATTACCGTTCTTCTATGATAATAATTGATATTTGACGTTACTATCTTAAATAATTTAATCAATTATTATCACATTTAATTATATGAATTATAAGTGGTATTGACTATATTTCACTTATGAAATGAAGATTTTTTTAATAGAACACTTATAGCATGATTAGAATTATTTGAATAATATAATTTAAGTAATTTAATCTTAGTTTAAACTCATATTAATCAGTTAATTATATGTAAAATGGGTTTAAAAAATATTAAGTTATATATATTTGCAATATTTTTAAACGAAATATGAACATTTATAATTATAATAATATTATATTCAAATATTAATACAAATAAAATACTTTAAATTTAAAGAACAAGTTTAAATTAGAGCCAAATGTAGGGAATACCATGTTGGTATATCTTAAACTCTGTACAAAAAACTTATAAGCAAATAAAAAAGTAGTTTGATATTTTATTGAGGTTTTGGAACACGCGTTTATAATATGTTTAAGGCTTCACAAATCATAGCGTTGGCATTGTCGAAATTCATTACGTATATATTAAAGTTAGTTTATCTTGAAGATGGCTGTTTTAGTGGCATTTGGGTAAAATTATTTTGAATAGACTCAAATTGGTGGTTGGTAGAATAGTTATTATTCTATTCTGCGTTCGGTACAAGAATTATTTCAATGTCCAATAAGAAAATTTTATGATCAGTTTTTAAGAGAAGAACAAAAAAATTAATATAATGAAAATATCGCATTTTCTCTGCTGATACAACCCTTTAATTTTTACGACCTATATGTCTTACCCGTCGATCAGAATAAAAGTCGCCACTGCACTCAATCATTGTACTTTTTTAGTTTTTAATAACTCATTTAAATTATTAAGTTTTAGTAAGTATTGAACCCAAAATATTAGGGAAAGTATACAAAATAGTCTTTTTTCTCATGTAAGTTCGCATGTCGATTTTTTTAAAGTCCTCAATGGTAATAATTTAAAATCACAAGTGTTAAAAATATAATTTTTCAAGTAATGAAATGCATTCATTATAATTCTGCACCCTTTTTTACGTGTCTTTTTCAGTTGGATTCTAAAATAAAAAAATTAATTAACGTCCTTTATTCTAAATTCTTTACTAATGGTTAATACTTAACAAATATTCTAGTGGTTTTAAAAAGAAAAAAATAGTACTTAATGTATTATTATTTCCATAAAAATTGCTAATGTTATCTAGTTAGATAACTAATAATGTTAAACTTTTGTACTAATCTTTCAAAAAAAAAAAAAATTAAAATTATGAGTATTATTTTTTTAATAAATATTAATGATGTAAATTAATTTTGTGTTTAATTTTTCAAAACTATTTGTAAATACATTTGAATTAGATAACAGAATTTTTAATAATATTTTGAAGATGAAATGTATTAATTTATCATAACTTATTTGTTTAAATGACATATTATTTAAAATGAACGAATATTTGGCTTAATCTGATAATAGGTGCAAAAGATCTCATCGATAATAATGAAAACTGTATAAAAGATATAGTAAAAATATTTATATTTATTAAATATTAATATATTTTAAAAATTGAGCAAATTATAATATTTGTTTATTACTATTTATTTATATCTATAATTTTTATGATTTTACACTTTAATAAAGTAACATAATAGTGATATTATTTTAGTTTTAATCATAATAGTAACATAAAATACTACAATGAGAAAAGGATACGTTTATACAATAATAATATTGTGTTTAATGCGCTCCATACTGAATGCTGTGACTAGAATACAAATTCTGTCAGAAAGGTTAAATAGAACAATAATCAACAAAGGGTGTTTATATAAAATCAAGTAGTAGGTAGGAAAATGCGGAGTGTATATTACAAGAGCCTTATAAATGTTCAAATGTGAAAACACAAACAACTATAGGCATAAGATTCTACGATATTATACAGAGTGTTCATTAACTAAGGAAACAGGCGAATTGTTATAAACAGTGAGAACAATAGCAACCCGTTTCCTTACTTACTTTACAGTATAACTGTATATATCAAATAGGCACAGTTTTAGCAAACTTTTTATTTATTAAGGTATTTGTATCAAAAATTATCTATTTATTTAAAACTTTAATAAATAAAAGTTTAATAAAATAATCTTGTAAGAGGCCATTACAGTATTATAGAGAAATATTATTAGCTAACTTTATAAAAAACTTAAAAAAAAGTACAATACTACAGATGATGTCAGAAAAAGGCGTCTCGGTTTTCAATATTTGCAGTTTTTTAGTTGTTAAAAAGCTAACCATTTCAATATTTGTGTGGATGAATAAATATAATATTGGCACATATAACATTTGTGCCCATGTTATTTTTATTTTTCTAACCTGTATATATATTTTTCTATACAATCCTTTGCACGTGACTTGATTTTTTCACGTACATCTTTTTATGAAACATTAACAGAGCTAATAGAAAATTTGCTAGAATATTAAAATTGAATCAATTTACGAAAGAGTAGTTATGAATTTCTTTCAAACAGAATCATATTTTATAAAATATAAAAATATTTTTTTTATAATTAACCTACTGGTTAATTGTACCAAATTTGAGTGGCGGTGGCAATCTTTTTCTTTGTATCAATTATTATTTAATTTTAAGGAAGTACAAAATATGTAAATACAATCTTGTTTACATTAATTAAATCGAATAAATTGTCTACGAACAAATCAAAAGATTTTTTTTTTTTCAATAATGTTTTCCGTATGAAACAAAGAAATGAAAAATACTACACTTCAAATAATTATAATATTTTTTCCATGTTTTCAGAATTGTCAAAAAACTCATTGGAATAATTATACAAGTAATAGTTGTAGATAAACTTTAAATGATATGCATTTAGATAATTATAACAAAAATAATTGAGTATATGCATAATGATTACAATTAACTACATATGTAACTATATAAATAATTTGATTATTAGTATTAAAAGTACAGTTCTTATTTTTGTAACATTTATAAATATAAATTAATTCTGTCATGAGACATAACTATAAAAAAAATTCAGTTATTATAAATTTCTTGAAATAAAGGATATTAGACTTATTCCAATAATCCTGTAGATTCATGTGTAACAAACTGAGAAATTGTTTCATATTAATTATTTTTCGATACGTTATTAAAATTTAAACAATTAAAATTATGTTATTATTACAGTTTTGAAAATATATTTCTGAATATTTTTTTTATTTTAACATACAATTTTTAAATTTCGTAAGTTATTCATTAAATGTTTGTACCTCCTGAATTATTTTTTTCTAAATCATTATTTTTTTATTTTGCTTTTATTAAGAAAGTATTAAGGTATAAGGCTTTGTTTTTATTATTGTCATTTTGGTTTTTTTAATATAAATTGATATTCAGTTTTTTCAAATGTAAAAAATTGTTGTAAATTAGATTCGACAAAAATTTGTAAGAGTATTTCAAATATATTTTTTAATCAAAGTTATTAGAATATGCTTTTGTGTTTTTATTTATTTTTTGAAAAAGTTTATATAAAAGTTAATAATCATGTTTTATAATAGAATTAATAAAAAAAATAATGGCTTACATGATTATTGTTTTTAAAGGCCGATTATCCATGGAAGACTAGTCGCTGGAACGTCTTTATAAATGTATAAAACACAGAAAAACCTTAATCTTGGCTTAGTTTTGAAAGATGTCCAATATTTTGCAATACACTTCTAAATCGGTTTTTTTTACGAATAATTGTATGATTTATAGATTTATTGTTTAATAATTCTTAGAAATCGATAAATATGGATCATTATTTTTTATCTTAAAGTATATTGTATTAAATTAAATTTATTAATGCAGGTTTAAAAAGGTTGGGTTTTTAAAACGTTATCAAAAATGAAAATAAGTAAAATTTTTATGATGATTGAGTCCTCACGGTACCTTAGTTGATGGTTAAATTTTCAAAAAATAAGTCGTTAGAAAGGCAAACGTTTGGAGTATTATTAATAAAACATTCACAATAATCAGTTAAGTTTTCTTATTGACTGTTTTATAATAACTGCAATTGTTTGGGAAATTTCCCGTTTTTACGAAAATTGTTTAAAATTATAGCGTTGGTTCATTGTGGAGCTGGATCCAATAATGCAGCTTCAAATGGATAAGTTTTGTGATCTTTAAACGTATCTTTGACAAAGTCGGTCCAGTAGGAGTGAAAGTAATCGCGTATACGGACACGAAAAAAAACATTGCAAAGTAAAACCAATAGCTTCTTAGCTACGCATCGAAGCTAAAAAAATCGCTTTAAACTTAATGTAACGGAAATTAAAAGTGGAAACAGAACTTCTATCAAGTTCAATAATAACTATCAAATACTGTACTAAGGATCGAATTTTTCAAAGTAATTTATTTGAGTTAAACGAAAATATTGGAAAATGAAACACTAGAAATAAAAAATGTCACAACTTTTTTTTGAGTACACATAGAGTGGATAACATTAAAGACAATTTTTACAAATTAATGTTTGTCGTATAACTATATAATTATAAATATTATTTTAATTATAGAAATTTAAAAAAATTGAAAAAATATTATTGAATATGTGTAAAGTTTTGTAGTTTACTCTAAATATTTGTATCTAATACAATACTTTACAAAAATTGTTTTCCTATTGAGCTTTCATATATTCTTAAAGAAATTACTTATAAAATGGAAAATAATTTAATATTTTTAGATCCGATTATTTATTTTATTTAAAAAGTTAAACGATTTTAGAATAGGTTAAAAAAATTATTTTAACAAAATATATTTTCAACTTAAAAGTTTTTAAACTTTAAACAAAATTTTCTCTTTAATTTTTACATTATTTAGCACCTTTTAATGTTGAAATCACTGTTTTAACTTTAAAACTACAAATTAAAATATAAAGAAAAATTGATAAGTACACGAAAGTGTATTTATGGTTACATTATTGCGTATTCATCAATTTATAATCGTTTATTATAATTATAATTTAAGTCTGAAAGGGTTAATTGTAATAAAAAATAAATTAAAAATAAGACAACTACGTTGTAGATTAGGATTGAAACGATTTTAAAAATCAAATTAAAAATCAAATTAAATATTGAATTGAAAATTGTTTATATAATTATGTTTTTTTTTAAACATTTAAACATTTTTGTGATATCTCAAGTTATTAATTTAGTACTAGTAAAATGATTGGTCAAATTTGATTTCAACCTATTTACATACAAATTTTATTCTTATGAAAATACCACTGTGGATAAAAAGTAAGTATTCCCATTTACTTTAATAATACTTAATGATGATAAATTTTATGATTGTATGAAATGTGTCAGGAGCTTGTACATACTATTATATATTACATACTATGTTAACATTTAGCATTAATATGTAAACACACGTGTAAACTAAATACACATAAACTAAAGAATTTATATTTTTGCTAACATTAGTATCACGTTTTGAATAATTTACTTCAACTAAGCTAAAATATATGTAAACTCTATGTAATAATCTTGGGTTTTGACTTAAATACTTCTAAAACTATAAAATAAGTATATAAAATGTAATTTATAAAACATAGAATGATGATAGATTATGAGCTACGTGTATTTTAATAAATGCACTAAAATAACATATTTTAATAAAATACTGCAGGCGTTTTACTTTATTTAAATGAACGTGGATAATCATACGGATCGATTTGTAAAATTTCGGGGTAAATTTGAATTTTTTTAAAGTACTTAGTAGATGAAATGCAGATAAACATATAATATTTTTGTAACTGATAAATAAATTTTATTGTTTTAAATAATAATAAAATAAAATAAAGTATAGAATTACGAACGCATCTATAATCTTTCATAAATTGCTTTTGTTCAAAAAATTGATTTAGTAGTTATAATGTTTTTAAATAATTTTTTAAGTTAATTTTAATTAAGGTTGCATGTTTATTAATTAAGGTTGCCAAAACAAAATTTATTTAGTTAAGTAAAAAATTGTTTATTTTATATACATTTTTCAATAAAAATATTTTTTTTCAAAATATAGGGAGTTATATTTTGATATATGCATTAATAAATGATATATTTCATCTGGTAATTAAGTTTTACAAACTTAGAAAATATATTCAATTAACATAGCATTTTTCGAACTATTTATTATAAATATAACATTGTACAATTATTTTTTAGTTTATTTTTTAAATCCAGTATAAAAAAAAAACTAATTGTACATCTAAAGATTTATAGTACATCTAAAGTAGTTTTCTGTTGAAATTATGTAGACTTTTTTAGTTTCATGTGAAGTTGAGAAGGTATTATTTTTACTTTTTTCAATGAGTTAAATAATAATTAATTTTGACACAGAAAAATGGTGAAATGTTCCTGAAGAACATTAATTTACAATCAGCACAATTTTTTTGAATTATTAGTTGTATCAAATAGAACAATAAAGTACCATTTTGTAATTAACATTGATAAGTTTTTCTGTGAATACAAATACAAAAATAAATACCTAAAAACGCATCAACCGTTTATAAGAAATATCTAGTGATAGATATATAAGGAAAGACAAATACCATATTACTTTATTTTTATAAATGTTTTATTATTAACATACAACATAAAACAATTGAATTTAGAATTTTCAAAATTTCTTAGTGTGCTACAATGATTACAATCCAATAACCCTCGAGATTTAATTACATTCTCATTTGATAAGTTTTTGAGGTAATACTTCTTAAATGATAAAAAATATTTCAATTTATTTTTACATATTATATTTGAATATTTCTAAAATTAAAATATTTTTTATTGGTTATTAGCCATTCTCTAGGTTATTGTTCCGAATATTTTCGACATTTGACCTTTACAAAAATATTACAGCAACTATATAATCGAAAAATACAGCATTGGGAATGTTGAACATAATTATGATTTATATAACAGCACGTATGCCAAATTTTGGGTTATTTATGAGGCTTACATTATACTGTGCTTGCATATTATACTTGTACGATGATAATAATTCAGATCTATGGATTGTTAACTGGGTGTCTTACAAGAATTTACAAAATCAAATAACTCGTATCGAAATTTAACTTATTGTCAGGTTTTTCACTTGTAAAATTATTATTATTATGATTAATAAATTGTTAATTATCATAAATAACATTGAATTAAGTCTGTATCTGGTCAAAACAGTCGGAAGGAGCTTGAAAAATGTATATACAAAAAGAACGATCAAATAATAATATAGAAATAAAAAATTTTATGTATACATTTCATAGTTATTTAACCCATTAAATTTTCCAGATGAAGTCTTGCGCAAATTAACTAATAACTTCAATATTTAGATATGTTTGAACTATATAGATGAAGTTATTGAAAATTTCTATGAATTAGTATTACTTTTCTCTGATTAGAAAATCTTTGAGTAGACACTCTGTTTTTTTTTAGAAATCTATTTATGGAAAATATTGTTGATTTTGACTATAGTTCAAATTTATGTGTTAAAATTTAAGTTACAAAATACAATTTATACAAAATTCGCATTTTGGATAATGATACAAATTAGAGTTCAGATAACCCATGCCACTTTGGTGGATCTCTCCGCTGATAAATGACTTGGTCCAATCACGCTTACCGAGGCCATCGGTCCTCCGTGGGCCTCGGGTCCGGGTCAATCTGGGTCGTACTTGCAGTCGATGCGTACGAGGGCAGCAGTAGCTATCAAAGTGAGTAACGTCAATGACATCAGTATTGCGGCTAACATGGCAATCTGGCCGCTGTGGAATAGTGACTTGGCAGATACGAATAAAAGCATAGTATGTAGCAAACACGCAGCCAACCATAGGGAGGTTAGTGTTATGGCTGATCGGACTGTTGGTCCTAGAAATCGAAATGGTTGTAGCCGAGGATCGCACTGGACCGACCGAAAACCACTGAAACCATGACTGGTATAAATACTGCCACCTGGAACACATAGAGATAATCGTTTTATTACCTTAAGGCAGTCACTACGCAATAAATAACAGTTTCTGAGATAATTGTATAGGAGGGTGAATATTTTCTAAAAATATGCTGATGACAAAAAAAATTATAAAAATGACATGTTAGCTCCTAACTATTAGGTAAAGACATTTCAAGACAAAGGATCTAAAATCAAAACTGCAAACATATCTAAAGTACACTCTAAATTAATACTGATATTAAATAATTGGGCTCCGAGACCCGTGTAGAATCAAGTTTTCAAACTGAAATTTATAAAATATCCAAAATTTAAATTTAGTCTCTACTGAAATTCAGGTAAAAATATAGCGCTCAATAAAATATATCTTCCACTAATCGTATATAAATGCAAAAAAGAGATACATCGTTTAGTGTAAAGAGAAATCAAATTTGATTGTCCGAACGTCAAAAATGCGTTTCAATATTTTATTCTACTGTAAAAATGGGTAATATTATTGGACATGTTCCCATTTTGCAGTTAATCGATATTAGGGTGTGTAATAGGAATTATTATCATCAGCTATTCTCGTTTAATTTAAAAAACCAAAATGGTTAGTATAAAATTATGAATACTAATATTTTTTATTTTTTTATGGCATTTCCTGATTTTATAACAATATGAAAATCATTATAAAATGTTCTCTACAGAAAGGGGATATGTCCATCAATTATCTACATAGGTTTCTTAGATTTAATAAATAAATAAATGTTAAAATTAACCATGAGAATATACATACTGTATAAAATGCGAAGAAATTTTATCTCACAAGAGAGCGGTTTTAAAATTGCACATCATTCGTACTTAAACACAATCGAATTTTATCAGTGTAAATATTAAATCTACGCATTTGTATACTACTAGCATGTTATAAATGGTAAATATTTTTATATAAATTTTGGTACACAACTTATACCAAAATTATCACTTTATATATCTTGCACTTTGCTATTTATTTAACGCATCATACACTCATATGATCAAACAATTTTCAATTATTACTATTGCCGTTGGTTTAAAAAAAGTGTAAATAACAATATAAGAGTAATTGATCACGTGTTAAGTTTCTATAAAGTGGCATATGACACTGTTTTAAAAAATTTAAACAGTTGAATATTTTGAAGTCATTGAAAGTTTTTGGCCATACGCTTAGTTGAGCTTATCGTTAGATCTGAGAGGATTTTTTATATTTAAGTATTAACTTGAAAATTTAATGAATAATATATTTACCTTTGCTTATTTGCTGAAATACGGCATAGTTTTTTTGTTCTCATTGAAATTTATTGTTCAAAACTAATTAAATACTATTACATGTATAAAATAACGTTAAATTCAACGTTATAATATATCTGAACATTAAACGATTTTTTTTTATATGATTCCTGCCACAGAGACGGCCTTTTTATATTACATTGAGCTTTTCTTCTTTTATATTTTTTTGAGTTTTTTATCACGTCATGAGGTATTAAATACTGCTATAAATTACATGATCCACAAATTGTTTAATTTAAAATAATTAAAATAAAAGAAAAAGGTTTTTTTTTAATATATAAAGGAAATACAGAAAACGGTAATAAATAAAATATTCTCGACTTTATACTTGAATTATTAAAATGACTTCTAGAAATTTTTCGATGAGACTAGTCCATAATGAAAGAAATGAGCTGATATTTTTTAGTAAATATTATAATATAAGTATAAAAGTACATTTCATAACAAAAAAATTATTACTAAATAATTAAATTTAAATAAAATAAAAATTCATCGTATATTACATATCCAAAATACTTAAAGTGTAAATATATATACTCCTTAGACCCCTCAAATTTACTTTCATCTCCAGAAATATTTAAATTATGTCATTTAACTAGCTTTGAAACCTACTGAGAGTTAAGTCAAAGGATTCCTCAGGTTTTGCGTTGTGAAAGTCGTAAGTATATATATTTACTTATAGGTAACTAAACTTAAGCAATATATTTGTAGTTTCTCAGTGTTATAACTTGATACAACTCATAAGATGTCTATTGAAATATTTATATGAACTTTATGTATACCTATCTATAAACCTTTTAAAGATAGAAATTTAATTAAATACTGTACAACATAATAATATTTATATATATATAACTTACTGTATAAAAACACGATATTAAAGTTTTTATTTAAAATTTTTTCGAAAAATAATTTATGTAAAGACATGATAAATTTAAGAAAAGCTTCATATAAAATTATATTAACTTCTTTGACAATTTATATTTTTCTTTAATAACTACAACGAGTTTTTTTTTACAATTCTGTAAAAAGGCAAAAGTTTAAAATTAATAATTTAATAGTTTTGTACATCACAAATAAGAGTATTTCTTTTTAAATATTATGATGTATTTAACCTCATTTATGTAATCTTTGTATTTAAGAACTTTTACCCGAGTATCACAAAATTATCAGCATTTTTATTCGTTTATTTTAATTAAATAAAATTCATTTAATCCAAGAATATTAGTTAAACGTTTAACAATTGCACAGCTTGAACCTCAATTAAAATTTTTAGCTTCGATGCGAATCATTTTTTTCACTTTTTTTTCTTAAAACTTCCATAACTTTTTCAAAAATAAACAAATCAACATAATTTTTTTTTTATACTAAAACCTTAGATATTTCCCTTTCATTTGATATCATTTTTTTGAAAATCTAACACTTAACCTGCTCATTGGGAGGGGGGGATTTAAAATAGCAACTTTTTTACAAAAACTAACTTTTTCAACTTAATTTTTGAAAATGTTCCGGAAATACTGCGTCCTTTAAACATATATCAAATTAAAGCTTATTTTATGTACTTTATGTATTTTATGTAATATTCTGCATGTAAACGGCTGCTGTAGTTAAAAAAACGCTAATTTTGTGTTAAAATTTTCGATTTTCGATTTTAAATTTTCAATTTAAAAATGCTATAACTTTTCGAAAAATGTATGTATTAGCACAAATTTTTTTTTTCTAAATACATTATAAGTACATCTTTTATTTGACATACTTTTTATTAAAATTGGACAATTTCCCCATATAAAGGGGGCGTTCAAAACTTGAAACATTTTATAAAAAATAGAATTTTTTCAAACTAACTTTTGAAAATGTTCCAGAAATACTGCGTCCTTTAAACATATTATTTTATTTATTATTTAAACAGTTTTATTTAATCTTAAATTAAAGCTTATATTATATACTTTACTATAAAAAAAAAAATTCGAAATATACATTTTCTTCTTGATGAAAATGGCTACCGTATTCAAAAATATGCTATTTTTGTGTTAAATTTCTGGGTTTTATATTTTATTTTATTTTAAAATATCTTATTAGGGAAATAAACTGACTTTCATGAATATTATATAATTTAATTGACATAGAATTAAGTTCATAAGACATAAGAAATGAAACTTATTAAATTTTTATACTTTTTTAAAGTCAAAAAAGTAATTTTTAAATTTGAATTAGCTTAAATTTCTAATTTTATCATGCGACGAAAACAACGAACAGTTGCCGAATCGGTAACACTTGTGTCTTTCACGCTTAGGGTACGAGATTCAAATCCACCTGTGTCGATTATTATTTTACAATTTTTTTGAGTTAGAAAACAATTTTCAAATCATTTGAATTTTATCTCATTAAATGACTTCAATAAATATCAAGGATCCCATCACTATAGTCTCCCCTCGTGAGAAGAAATTTCTTATTTATGTTAATATTATTTTACTATGTGGTTCTTTTTGTGGCAAAGATTTATTTTGCCAACCCTTACTAGACCTACTTTTTAACGATACGTCAAATGATTACAATTCGTATTCAGTTTAAGTTATTACTCTTAAAAATCGAAAAAATATTCCTTATTCAAATAAAATTAGCTTAACCAGCTTTTTCCATACCAACAATTAAAATCATTAATTTCTAATATTTTTAAAGTATTTATTGTCAAATAAGATTTGATATGATAAAAGTATTCAACAACAAAAGTAAATAATATTACTTTAGTAATTTATTAATTTTTTAACTCTATTTGTATGTGCTACTACCGGTCTATAACATTCCAAATTTTTTTGTAACATGTTGCTATATAAATCATAAATCTAAAAAAATTATTTTTAGCTTCACCTGAATTTAACGATGGATTTTTACAATTATAATCTAATTTTTAAAAACGCTCAATTGAATAGATTTTTTTAACAATTTTTTTTTATTGGTTCTTTTAGTTAAAGTAAATCATTAAAATTAATTCAGTTCTGTATATTTCAATTGGAGAACCTTTTCAAATATTAAAAGTTACTAGGATATGATTACTATTATTTTTATTTAAGTGATCTATTACGATAAAAATGTAAACAAAATCGAACTTTTCTGATAAATGTACTGTAAATAGTAATTATAAATTTGCTGACTGCATATTAATCTTAACAATTTCTTTTTTTCTATTTAATAATGTCAATTTCAAACTTGCAAGTTGAGCTAAAAGTTATGGTAATAAATTCATTTTTTTTTTTATATTAAATCTTTCACTTTAAAGGATAAAATAAAGTAGGTTCAAAATGATTACTTTTAACATATTAAAAATCAAAATAAATAATTATTTGATAACAATTAATTTTAAAAATTATATAATATATAATTAAAAGAATTACTAATCTGGGTATAATTAAGAAAATAGAAGTTGATGTTGCTTTTGGAATAATCCAACAATTCTAAAATTAAACACTATCTACAGATTTGCATCGAAGCGTTTCTTATGATACTGATTTTAATCACTGTCAGATTAAATGTATACTGGACCTAACTATGCAACGTCACCGCTGGGCTGGGTTTTTTTAACTATATTTTATTTATTATAAAGTTAATTATATTTATTTTTAAATATACTTAAGAATGGTATGAGAATATATAAAATCCCACTATGTTACTGTTTTTATATATATTTACTCAATAATGTCAATAATTCTTAATTTGCATGATAATTTAAAATGTAAAAAGATAATGGTATCCAATATAATTGATGATTAATATAATGTTAGTTTATAAGTTATAAATTCTCAATATTTTAAGAAACTATGACGTGCTTAAATTTTTTTTTTCTTTGCGATGTTTAAAGAATGAGTTCATGTTTAAAATTTGCAAAAACTGTTTGTTTTACCATACATAAATTTAAGTTTGAAATAATAATCTTTCATTTTGTTCAAAGAAACACTATATTAATTTTAGTAAAGCAATAATAATTAATATTATTTTATAATATTAGAAAATGATTAAATTAGTAGTGTATATTACTGGTGTCTTGTTGAGTTTAATTGGTATAGTATAGTTTTCTTAGTTAAATTTTGTTATATGCGTTGCTAATTTTCTATTTGAAAAACTTGTTTTCTCTATTAATTTTATTAACTTGTGTTGATAATCTTCTATAGGAAGTATTGTTAATTTTTTCCTATTAACTAACGTTAAGCTAAATTTTAATGTAAACAAAGAACGAAACAACTAGTTACAATTACTCAATTTGTTTCTAAGTAAACAACGTTCATTAATTATTAGCATCGAAAAAACATAATAAAAAATTAGAAAGTGAAACACGTTCACACCCAAAGACCCGACCGCTGCAGCAATACTGACTTATAACGACCAAGAGTGCTATCCGGAAACAATAATTTGAGGCTATTAAATTAATTAATTAATTAATTGAAATACCCATCATTCAAAATTTTGTTGTTTCTTTTCAAGAAAAATAGTTGTTCCAATCATATGTAAAGCATAGATTATACACAAAAATTAAAATAAAACTGCGACATTAAAATTTATATTATTAAAGTCAATGTTTTTACATTGTAAACAAAATACTTAATTTAGATAACTTATATATTATATTTATTATTATTATTATTAGTAATAGTATTTTTAATCATATTTAACGTCCTCTCTAATACCTAATTAACTCAACTAAGTAAGCTTTCCTATTTAGATTTAAAACTATTTTTAAATAATTTAATCTTAAAACAAACTCATTTTATTACAGCGCAATCACTAGCCAATGGACGTTTCTGTTCTGCACGCAAAAGATCTATTTGGGACAACATTGATCCTATATGTAATTAAAAATAAATTTAACCTTTAGTTATACTTTTTTTCTAATATTTTTAAAATTGGATAAAATATAGAGGATTCAGTGATATTACAACTGTTAACTTAAAATATACTTAAATTTATTTATTTAGTAAAATTTATTAACTGGCTAATTTATAGCCCTATAAGACTGTGAATTTCCTTCCATATTTTTGAGAGGGCTAAATGTTTTTTACAAATATTCTCCTTTTTGGTACCTAGGCAGAAGAGTGCAGACCAAAAATTACTAAAAATAAAAATAACACCATTTAAGCTTCTCCACCAATCTATATTTTAAATACTAATAATTTCCAATGTAATGGTTAAAATTTTGTAATCTAACAATGATTTTCTTATTTAAAACATTTTCTACTTTATAAGATAGTTTAATACATATATTTCCAATTAAAAAATAAAGTTGAAACCCCTATAAAATATAAGAGATGGATCTATAAATCATTTTACAACAGTTATGAGATACATATGTAACTAATAAAATGCAAACAATAATTTTCAAAAAAACATTATCTTAAGAGAAATCTAGTAACTATGGTTAAAATAATCACATCGTATATTTTGTAATTACGTACGGAACGACATATTATTATTAAAATAATATTTATATCTTACAAAATACAAATTATGTATTTCCAAATTTAAGAAAACTTATTAGCTTATGACTAAACATATTAAATTTCAGATAACCTATATGATACAATAAAAGGTAATTCGAAATTTATTTGTATATAACCAAGTATTTATTTTACTAACTATTATTCACATTCTAATAGAAATTTAAGTTAAATTTTGTTTTTATATTTTATTGATACCGCTCATTAAACTATAATATTTTAATAAAAATTATTCATCATATTTAGTGTCAATATAAATTAAAGTAAAATAAAATAAAAAAATATATTAAATATGTTTTATTATAACAGTAAAATTAATCAACTGTTTAATTTATAGATGATGCTGCAGATATATCTAATGGTAACTGAAAACATACTTATATGTATTTATTTAATCAAATGTATTAACAGGCTAATATGTAGCCTTATAGAACTGTGAATTTCATATACTAAAAAACATGATATAAGCCTGAAAATGTACATTAAAACCATATCATTAACACATTTGATAACAAATTTTTTAGAAGGCTAAATTTTTTTATATATTTTTCTTATAAATATTCCCATTTTTGGTACATAGTCGGAAGTCATAATGTGGACGAGATGTATTAGTTCAAAAATTGTTATCGATTAATTATTATATTTTAAATCATTTTTTATTTTATAAGTTAGTTTAATAATTATATTTCTTATAATGGAATAAAATATAAAATAAAATAACCATTCGTAAAATAATAGTAAAATTTATTAACTGTTTAATTTATAGATAATGCAGTAAATAATTTAGAAGGTAATGGAAAATATGCATATATTTATTTATTTAATTACAATAAATTTGATAAATAAATTATTTTGGTGATATCTAAATTTATTTAGATAATAGTAATATATTTCATTACCGATTTCCGGTTAAAATGTCATAACTTTTATTATTTACAATCGTAATTAAATTAACTAATTAATTATAATAATAAACAATTATTGTTAAAATAATTATTAATATCAAAGAAATATTTGGTGTAACTTTGACAACCCAAACTATCTATATAATTTTAACATGCAGCGTTTGTATAGATTTGTCATGTCATATTTGCCAACAAGAGACAAACTCAGTTACCTTATCCCCCTGTGGTCACATTATAGGAAACTATTGCGCAAATAAATTCTTAAAAGTTGAAATTAATTGTCCTTTTTGTAATAAAAAGATAGACAAATTTAAAAACTTAGGTAGGTAACATGAATCATATGCTTTTAAGTTAATTTTTTAATTTATACTGTATTAGAAAAATTATTAACGGATGAAATATTAAAATTAATTATAGTTCAGTTGGATGATTGTGAATTTGATAAACGAACCATATACCGATTTCGTGCCCTTACTGAAATAGAGTTTGGTCGTTTAAAGGATAGTATAGAGAATGGTATGACTGACGAAGAATTTATGGCACGTTTTTGGTTTCTTCGACGTTGCCAAGAACCTGATAGACTACTGCTGTGTTCCATTCAAGATCATATTATAACTAAAGAAGATCGTAAGAATATTGCAGAACTTAAGGCTCATCTTTTGTCGTCAAAGTCTTCCATAACTTCAGAACTAGAAATGTATCAAAAAACATTTAAACAAGAGTTAACTTATGATGAAAAAAGAGCATTGGATAGATTTTTTCATCGATTAAATTTTTATCATATAAAGTTCGAATTTGAAATACGAAAGATATACTTGAATTGCTTATAAGTTATAACGTAATTATTTATTGATTTATCAAATTAGTTTTTATAAAAAATATTGTTTATAAACACTATGAATTTTATACCTATTTGCCATACTAATCTTAATATTTATACAAAATTATTATTGTTTTGGTTTCAAATAAATAACTAAGTCTGTTTTGTGTATAAAATTTTATTTTAAAATATCTTACTAGGGAAATACACTGACTTTCATGAATATTATATAATTTAATTGACATAGAATTAAGTTCATAAGACATAAGAAATGAAACTTATTAAATTTTTATACTTTTTTAAAGTCAAAAAAGTAATTTTTAAATTTGAATTAGCTTAAATTTCTAATTTTATCATGCGACGAAAACAACGAACAGTTGCCGAATCGGTAACACTTGTGTCTTTCACGCTTAGGGTACGAGATTCAAATCCGCCTGTGTCGATTATTATTTTACAATTTTTTTGAGTTAGAAAACAATTTTCAAATCATTTGATTTTTATCTCAATTTGATTCAGTAATTTCAATAAATATTAAAGATCCCATTACTATACTAGACTATAGTCTCCCCTCGTGAGTAGAAATTTCTTATTCATGTTAATATTATTTTACTATGTGGTCTATAACATTCCAAATTTTTTTGTAACATGTTGCTATATAAATCATAAATCTAAAAAAATTATTTTTAGCTTCACCTGAATTTAACGATGGATTTTTACAATTATAATCTAATTTTTAAAAACGCTCAATTGAATAGATTTTTTTAACAACTTTTTTTTATTGGTTCTTTTAGTTAAAGTAAATCATTAAAATTAATTCAGTTCTGTATATTTCAATTGGAGAACCTTTTTAAATATTAAAAGTTACTAGGATATGATTACTATTATTTTTATTTAAGTGATCTATTACAATAAAAATGCAAACAAATTTTGAACTTTTCTGATAAATGTACTGTAAATAGTAATTATAAATTTGCTGACTGCATATTAATCTTAACAATTTCTTTTTTTCTATTTAATAAT